TATTTGATACACAAAAAATGATCACGGCTGTACTTTTTGCTGATATATTACATACATATGTTCCATTTAGTTAAACAATATAAGAATATTGTAGTATGTACCACAAAAACGTATATTTTCTATAAAAAATCATAACTCAGAAAAAAAAATCTTCGCTATTAGAGATTTGGGTTGATTGTAGTTCAAAGTGTCTCTTTCCCGGTAAAAAAGTTTGAGAGCAAAAAAAAATACATTTTTTGAGAAATTAAATTTAAAAAAAAAATTGCACCTTTTGTTTATTGTTAAATAAAAAAATTTAAATAATGAAAATCAATAATTATATCATTCTATCTTGAAGTGACAAGAGTTACTGACATTTGAGTAAAAACATTGTTGCAATCTATTAAATTTTGACAAAGTTATGAGCATTTAAAAAAAAATCTTCACTGTTAATTCGAATAATCGATTTTTGCCTGAAAAACTAAATCGCGTTTAATTCGGCCGAAAAATTTTTCCGAGCCAAAAGAAAAAATACGTGTCTCATTATTTGGACCAACAAACAATGTATTTGAGCTTGGTCGAAATTAAAAATCATGCTTGTACCCGACCGGTTGTCTGGAAATGTTGTCTTTTTCTTCTAAAAATTAATGAACATTGAAAAAAACAAAAAAAAATTGCAAATTTTTTTTTTATTTTTTTTTTATATTTTTTTTTTTCAGAAGTAGACTAGCTCATCTTAGAACGGCAAAAAACGGCAAATTTTGACATAAAGCCTAATCGTTTGTCTTTGAGGTTGGAGGGGCGCTTCGCTAACTTTATATGGTTAGCAAAACACCTTATATCTCAAAAAAAATACCAGAGCGACAAAATTATTTTTTCCACAACTAATTAACGGCAAAACAAACGGCAAATTCATGGTTATATGCGACATTTTTTGCTTGATGTTGTTTCGCTAACTTTATACACATTAATTTAAAGAGTTTAATGCCCTGATACCATGCAATCATACTGTTTTAAAATAGTTATAAGTTAGTGTTTTGTAGTCGAATCTGCCTAGTCCAGTCTTTACGTTTATTGTTTAAATATTTTAGAGATTTTTTATACATATATGTAACTCCCTTATCTATGTATTCTGTGAACAGAAACATTTTGTTTACCTCCAAAACAACTAATTTCAAATGTTGTAATCTGTTAAAATAAAATTTCTCTGATGTTCATATAAGGTATGAAGTCTTCAGCATAGCAGAGGGCAGCACTGCTCTTACTTGATTTATAATGGTTCCTTAATATCTTTTCACTACATTGAATTTTAATATGGTGATGCAACCACCTGGAAGTGTTTCACAGAAAAAATTTACTAAGTATAGCCTTTTTTGTACATGCAGTTAAAGAAAATACATGAAAAGGCCCGAATTTTTCTTTAAATTCAAAAATATATCAATATTTCAAAACGGTGACCCCTTTACTTGATACATTTTTGCTTATCAGGGAGCTTACCCCCTCCCACGTGTCCACGACAATCGGAGTTACAATACTGCTTGATGTTTTGGAAAATGGTTTAAGCTGTTACATACAACAATAGATATATTACTACAAAGATTAAGCTCACCTTTCGAAGAAACATAAAATCTGGCTGGTACTTCGCAGGCATCAACATAATAAGTATTCGATCAAAGAACTGTAATCCTGTCAATGATGCTATACCCATGTAAAGAAATACTCCAAATAGCACAGGCATAGGAATATGACAAAGCAGCGGTGTTAGGATCACTGAAAGCCCAATTGTTAAAAATATGAGAACATGTGTAACGCGTTGTTCTCGAACACCCAAAAATGTTGGTTTTACCCCCGGCGCGGAACATTCTGACTCCAGTTTTAATGAATTAACATGATTTATACTAAGAACAGTCGCGGCAACAAACCTAGTATATATGTATATACACAAGAGTACAGAAACACTGGCCCGAAAATATTATTGGAAGTACATACCATGGTAAGCCCATTATACTGCATATTAGAATTAATACGGACAGTATAAATAAATCCAAATGGTAACCGCATCCTTTTTTAAGTTTGTTTTCTTTGCGGTTTATTATGACCGATGTAATTTGTTGGTCCATAAAAATTAATATCGTTCCCAACACTGCAGGGAAAAGTGCAATTACCGGCGTCCACCAAGGATTATTTGTTGTAAACGGTGGAACTAGCCAATCACGTGAGCTTAATGTGGGTTTAAATACGTGTGGCACATCTAGTTTTGGTGTAGCAATATCCACTGTATAGTCCAAAAATGACATCGTTAATATTGCAATAATAACTGCAAAGTCACTAATATATTGTCGTACGAAGGATGGAAAATAAGATGAGTTCTTGAAATCCTTTAATAAGACGGATATTGTAAAGGTTCCACAGAAAAGAATAAGTGACATGAGGAAGACATTTGCGGTGCTTGTATGAGTACAGTCTATTCCGACAGGAGTACCATTTTTTGCCTGGTAAATGATTGTTAATGAAAAAAAGTTTAAAAATTGTTTATGTGTATTATTAGTATTCTACTTACTAAACAAGTTGATTTGTCATATTTTGCATAGTCTAAAATAGTGAAATTACTATTTGCTGGAGGAGTGCATATACAATCATATATTGGATTGTTAAGAGGAAAGTTGTTTTTTATTACCCAAACATTTTCTAGGGCCTAAATATAAAAATTGCAAAAAGTGTTTGTTCCATAAGTGTATTCCAATGAAAAACACTAATTACCTTGTATATGAAAATAAACGCGATTAGTGTTGCAAAGTTCTCTTCTGTAAAGCGAGTAATGTAACAAACCAAAGCGCTGGCGTCGATCGCTGTTAAAAGTAGCAAAATAGCAGTTATCCAAATACCAATCCACAAGCGGAACGTCAAATAGTCCCAACTATGATTTTGACAAAAGTCATAAACAATTGTCTCAAACACTAATACTGGACCTGTGGAGCCTAAAATTGTAAGAGGTTGTCCAGAAAATAAACCGTATCCAATACCGCAAACAAAGCCGGAAACTAATGATTCCATAGCTGCGATATTTTTTCCTGTAGCTTCAGCAAGCAATCCACCAAATGTAATGATTGGAGAAAGGCACGCAAAGTAGAGAAAAATCCAAGAAGCAACACACTGCATCGAAAGACCATCTTTGAAGTCAGTATAGTACCATTTGGCTTTTCTTTTAATGTCATTTTTCAAACCCCCGAAAAGGCGTCCGGTACGTACTAATCCGGATTCTTGACGTATTCGTTGTTCTTCTTCTTCATCTGTTTGTACTTTAGATATTTTAGGTGGTCGTTTACGAGCCTCTTGTGAAGGTATAGCTGCCGGTGGTTCGATTCTTATTGTAGGATCCCATTCCCCTGGCGGTAAAATAGTAACTGTATCAAGAAATTCATCAATACCTACAGTTAAGTGATCTGTTTTTCGTGCACGATATGCAACTTCGTGAAATATTTCGTCAGACATAAGAGTCCCCATAGCACGACCGATTTCCAGTAGATTACTCTGACTATCAGGTCCACCCATTGCAACGAAAATGAAACTGAAGTAATATTTTGTATTAATCGAAATTAAATTCACGTTAAAATATATAAAACAAACCGTGTTGGCACTGGTACTTCAGTTAAATCACCTAAAAATGACGCTTTACGTAATCGAACAAAACACACTAAAGTTGTTTCTAAGAAACCCACTTCGCCGATGAGGATATTACTTGCCTCAGCGTCTAACGGAATTTTCCGTATAAAGTTCGTGTTGATAGTGTGTTGAGGTATATCTTCTCCTATTAAATTTTAAAATATTTTAATTAAAAATAATTAAAAAAGCGCTTCAAATCTGTGAATATAATGACAAAAGGGAACTAAATTTTTATGTAATTTATAAATACCTTATTTTAAATAAGATGGTAGGTCGTCGAATACCAACCGTTTAGCTACATTAGTTTTTCGCTTTGATTTTGACCGCAAGTGGCGGGAATCAGGGAAATAATTCAAGGTACAATTTTATGTTAAAATAAAATAATCACGAAATATATCCGAAACAAAACTTAGTGTAGGTTGTAGGCAGAGTAGTAAAAAAAAGCATTATTTTTTTAATGCACAATACGTTAATGTTTATGTTAAACATCAATGCAGTAATTTTTTAAGTATAATGGAAATATAAATCTCAATGCATTAATTTTCCAAATCTAATGCTTAATAAAATTTCATTCATTAGCTCCGAAAAAATAAAGCTAATGATTTTTTTTGCATTAACATTACAGTTTTTAAATTAATGCTAATGCAATGATTTATTGTATAACAAGCATTAAAACCCACTATATAATTTATTTGAAAGTAGAAATTCTTTGTTGAAGTTGAGGGTAGAAATTTGAGGTCAAAAAAGATAGTGGCGGAAGGTAGCGATGGAAATTGCTAGATATCAAGATAATTTTGTATGCAACAATAACCAACTTTAAAATCAACATAAGCAAACTGAGTTTCTCGCAAATTTATTTTATTTTCATAAAACATCTAACAATGATTGCAAGAATTTTTCTGCAAATAAACATAGTAGAATGAAGCTAAAAAACTATTAGTAATTATTGGAAGGATAAAAGAGGTTATTAATATTTCACTAGAAAATAACTTAATGGTTTTTCACATTCAAACGAACAAAACAATTTAAAATTTTAATGCATTAAAATTTTCCATTACCATTATTTTTTCAGAAGTATTGCATTAATATTTTATTACGCATTCAAATTTCAAAGTTAATGCATTGAAATTTGTATTTGCATTAAATTTCAAAAATTCAATTTATTGTGCCATTAATGCATTAAAAAATTTTTAAAAGGAGTGTTTTTTGTCCGACTTCAGAAATGTGTATACGAAATTTATTCGATATCAGTGAATCAGTGGTGGATTTGCCCTAAGGTCCGATAGGCCCGGGCCTAAGGCGTCAAGATATTAGATTGGCGCTTGCACATACATATGTTAATGTTTAGCCGAGCTTCTCCTCCGATTTGTGGCGTTCATCTTGATGTTGTCACACAAAGAGGAGGGACCTACAGTTTTACGCCGACTCCGAACGGCGATTGTATTTTTATGAGAAGCATTGTAGAAATACACTCGGAAGTTTTCCATTGCCTGCCGAGGGGCGACCGCTGTTAAGAAAAAACTTTTTTCTACATTTTTTATGCGTTGTTGCTTTGACCAGGGCTTGAACGAAGGCCCTGCGAAGTGAAAGCGCGCACTGCTTACCACTACACCACAGCGGCCACCTCGTCAAGTTATTAGGGGCGGCAAAAAACGCTCACTGGTGGTAAAAGGACACGCAGGACCAAAAGTAAATAAGTGTAAACTCAATATAGCGACACTTAACCCGCAAAAACTGCATGGTTTTGAAAACATCCAGGTCTAAGGAACTTTATATTGAATTTTATTTTATTGCTAACCTGACGAAATTAAGCACGTCAAAAGCCGAAGAAAATGTCACAGCATTACAAATGACTTTCCTATCGACTTAGAATACAATTTTTCAGAAGAATGTCTCCACTTTCGTGCCCAGTGTCGTAAAAAATTAGGATCGTAAGAGTGCTATGAGTTTGGTGGAATACCTAGGTGTTGAAGATCTGCAAACCATCTACCCAAATGTGGACACCGCTCTTGGTATATGTATGTGTAACTCCCACTAGCAACAGGTAAGATGCCAGTAAAAGCATAGACATACGGCAACGTTGATCCGGATTAATGCAGCTTTCAGCACTCGACTGTTGTGAACGCCAAACTCGATTAGTTTTTTGCTTACTTCTGCAATAGCCAACTGCTGGTCGTTTTGGCTAGCGTTGTCATCGGAAATTCCCCTGATCCGCATTAATTTTGAGGATTACCTGCAGGACTTATTCCAGATCGACTGCAGTTAATTCTGAATTAACGAGCTGGTCTAGATAAATGTTGTCGTCCTTCTATGCTTTAACCTCGCTTTGATAATGTTTAGGCCTTCATGCAAAACCAAATGATTTAAAGGTCGAACCACCCTAATGTAAAAGTGCAATGACTTGAGCCGACCACACAAACACACTCAGGCATATATACGGCCTA